TGGTGCCAGTGGTGAGGACGAAGACCTCTCTCTCTCTCTCTCTCTCTCTCTCTCTCTCTCTCTCTCTAAAACGACATGGAGGATGAGAAGTAGTACAGGAAGGAGAAAGAGGACAATGATGATGGGGATGAGTATGAGGAGATTAACGTGGAGGAGGAAGTAGATGAGTATGTGGGGCAGGGCACAGCCTACCGGGGCGTCCATGGCCTTCGGGGGTGACCATGATGATCTGCCGATTGTCTTGAAGTGGGCCGGGAAACCGCTCAAATTTGAAGGTGCAACCCCCCCCCTCCTCCTCCCCCCAACCCACCCCGCCCCAACAGGTCGTGGAAGCGTGTGAACTAGTACTCGTATTGGGGACTCGTATTGGGGCCCGCATGACGACTTCAAGTGCACTTCCTTGCATACGTTTGTACACGTATTCGCGCACTTCAGACCCCTGTACAGGGATGGGGTGCAACCCTGGCCACGGTTATCGTTGTGTGGATGCCTTGCTTTCTCGTCCTCTGTGTACTGTTTCAATTTCACTGCATGTCCCAATGCTAAACCTTCATATTAAACATTTGCAGTTCATTTGCACTGAATGTCCCCTGCTCTTCTCCTTTCTGAGTGACAAATGAGCATGATCCGACCAAACGGGAATCGAAAGAAGGACAATGGGAGCCATTGGTTAACCATTTGTTCAAGCAAGATAAATTTGTGATGCATTAAATTCATACTTGCAAGCGGACGCCGTCCGCGCGGTTCTGCACGTGCAGCGGACCGCCGGACCGGACCCGCGTGGCGCACGAATGTGCGCCGACGACCAGTTACCCCCCCCCCCCCCCCCCCCTAAAAAAAAAAAAAAAAAAAAAAAAATGGCCCCGTCCGGTCCCGGGGGAGGGTGCCGCACCCGGCAAAGCGGACTGTCCGTTCCGTCCGCTTTCAAGTACGATGAAATTGCATTTGCAATTTCTCTGTATTGAATGACTTTTTTTTTGGTTGAAATAACATAACAATTTTCTTTGTCATGAATGACAGAATCGCTCAGGTTGTACACCCATCGATTGTTTGAATACACAGTCATCACAGACCCAGGTTCAAATCCAAATGCGACCTGATGAACAGAATGAAATAATTCTGAATTCCTGGAGGCCGGGTAGCTCAATATTGATATCTCATAATCTGAAGTCTGTTGCCCTTTGAAAAAGAGGGAAGAGAATTAAAAAGAAAAACATGTAAAAACAGAAAGAGAAACAATTAAATCTAATAATATTGACATAATAATGACATTTTCAACTAGGCTACCAGCCGAGCTGCGTGGGTCACACATTGTTTGCCTGGGTCACGTCGAAAAGTTTTTTGCCTCAGGGTCGCATCGGGATTATTTTTATTGTTTTGAACTTTTTTTGGGCTGGCCGGGCAAGTGGTCCCGGGCCGCTTTGGTAGCCTAGGTTTTCAATTGTCTGCCGCTTTCCTGTTCTCGCTGTGGTGCGTTCTGTGCACAGGAAATTTGATTTGCGGTATATTTTGCTGGTGCGAAGCATCAATCCGTTGGATATATTTGTTGGGGATATGTTCTGGGTGAGTGCTGTGCTAAGTGCACCCTTTCCACCTCCTCCTTGCTAATCGAGGTCAGTGTCTTCTTTTTTTTTCTTTTTTTCAAAAGTCAGTGTCAAATAGGATCACAGTTCAAAAAGGCAGTCTTCTTTGTGGCGTGGAATTGACAGTTTTGTGTCTGTTGTGATTCACAGTGGCTTTTGTCTCCCTTGTTGTGTGTTTCGATTCACTGCTATTTTTCGCCCCTTTGTTGGGCAAGTTATTGTTTTGTGCTTCTACTAGAGCTGAAGAGTGCACACAACTCTTCTATACATAGTACTTGCTTTTTTTTTGTTTTTGGAGCAGGGGGGAGGGAGGGGGAGGGGCCAAGTGGGAGAGAGGCCGGAGGGGAGGGAGGGGACTTTGGGTGGGCTGCACAATCTACAGATTCGACAACCTTGTATGCCGACGCATTCTTATTGGGGTTTGCGGGGACGCACGAGGGGGGAAGGAAGTGAGGTAGGAGGGAGTGCTACACAACTTTGGGCGTGGGTGTTGTGCAAGGAGGCGGTTGTCTCGAGGAGCGAATTAAGTTCGGGACCTGCGGGTCTATGCGCTATCTCCAGCAGTTAGTCACAACTTGATGGAGTCTGGTGAAGCTGTCGGACACATCTGCCTTGTCTGACTTATTGTGATGTCTGAAGCTCCGGAACCCCGAACTGAGTCTTTTTTAATGCACTTTCTGGGGAACTGTGGAGATGATGCGTAGTACTCGTGCACTCTGGAAATGTGGAAATGTGAAGTATGTGAAAAGAGTTCAAAAAACGTATCATGGATGTATGGCTGGAGATTCTGGTCTTGATGAGAGAGGCCCGGTGACTGGATTGGTGGGTGTGGGACAGTGGCCCGCTGTCCAAGGCCCCATATAGTGAGCGACTGGGTACAGACTCCAGAGGTATGTTTCCCGTCCACTAAATGAGCCTTGTGACTGGGGTGATGCGAGAGGTCCGCCTGTTCCGCCTCGCCAGCCCCCGTCATGCATCGTCTTGGGCCACGGGGGTATTGGGCCTTCCGATGTCTGTTCTGTGGGGTAAGGGCCCCAGACCCTAACTTGCTTCTCAACGGCTTTATAAGGGACGCTGGGCCCGGTTCCCATTGCGTGCTGCTCCCCATGAACAGAACACAGCATAGTTCTTTCGAAAGAAGAAAGAAAAAGAAAAAAAAAGCACTTAAAGAAACAGCAGAATGTTCCTCCAGAAATTAGACAAAGTGAAGAGCTGCACTGTGGTGATGTGTGCATGGATCACATCTGACAGCTTCGGTTTTATGTCGTTGCGACTTGTCATCTGATTTTTTTTTCCCCCTTCTGTGGTTTCAGTCTAGGCTGTCGAACAATACATACTCAACCAATGAGGCGATGTTAAGCGACTACGAAACTCATTTCACAGTTATGGTAAGTGTGTGGGAGAAAAAGAGAGAGAGGACACGCTTTTGGTCTGCGGGCCCAGTTGCACCGCAGAACTCACCATCCGGCAATATTTTGAATGCATCTGGACAGAAACGTAGTCCAGATGCGTCCAAGATCCTGGCGGATGGCGAGTGGTGCAACTACTAGGCCCTGTGTTTGCCTTTGCTTGGGCTTCACAGTCCATTTCCTCTTTTCCTTTTTGTTTCTTTCGAACATTTGATCGATTGTACGAGCAGCCTCTCTATGTCTGTGGCCTGGTTTTGCTCTTTTCCCTCTTTTTTTTCTCCGTATTGTTTGATTATGTTCATCTCGTTCCATTGGGATTCGCACACAGGGTCTGTATTTCAACAGTCCATGGGTGTATTCACTAAGCTAGGCCCATCGGTTGTGCCTTCCTTTTGCTACCTTCTTCACCCTAACACATCGTACGGTCACTATTGCGGTTTGTAGACTGAAAAATACCCTAAATACGGCTATAATGACCGTACGTTCTATTCGGGTGAAGAAGGTAGTCTTGAATTCACTTATTTTGTCAAAGGCTTGTTCCTTCCCACAAAGACATTACTTATGCAAATTCAATGACAGAATTTAAAATCTTCTGAAGTCAAAATTTGAGAGAGGGGTCACAGACGAAATAAATCCTTCAGAAGTGAAAACTCAAAACTCAAAGAGGTTCAGAGAACCTCAGTCAGACAAACGATACCGCACATGTCAGGAGGGGTCATGCAACTGGCCAAGGAATGAAAAAAAAAAAGAAAAGAAAAAAGAGAGGTTTCCACAACTTTCCAGAGTGAAAGTGTGTTGGAGAAAGGGAGGGGGGTAGGGTTACTGGCTGTAGTCGAGACTGTCG